ATTGTAAGCCTAATAGTATGAAATCATATCAATAATTGTAGAGCAACCATTGCTGTATACCTTTGGTGCTTAATAAATGTCCATAATTATTAAAAAATCAATCTGTTTAATAATGGTGCTGATCACTGGGTTATCTGTTCGAAAGGAATATATCACCTATAAAAATTAAATCAAAACATATCAGGCTTAGATGTTACAGCTAAAACTGAAAAACTGTTAAGTTCCCTCATATGACCATAGGATGGGAAATGATCTCAATGAGTTCTGAAAGAATGAATAATGAAAAAAAATTGCTCTAGGGATGGTGTGAGCAGCAGCTACCACAGTGAGGAGAACAGTACTCAGATTGGTTCATGACATCCAATAGAAGGCTTTTTGATTCTTACAAGGTTTCAAGTTTAATATACAAGATGTAACAGACGCCACAAGAAATGCTGCCTGGCTTATGAAGATTATGTACATGTGGTAGACGGGGGAATTCAGGAACTCAACTGTGTATGGTGGCAGTAATTATGTGGTTATCGGCATGTACCATTCCAGGAGAGAAAAACAGAATTGAAGGAATTCAGCATAAAATACTAAACACTTCACATGATTGTATAGTTTGTGGGCCAGAGGCCACACTTGATTTCCTGTCTCCAGTAATTGATTTGTACTTCAGATGCTGATGTGATGATTGTTTACTTGAGATCTTCAAGATAAAAATGGATGGAAGGTTTTAGAGGACCAGCCAGATTTCATGAATAATTTGGTATTCCATCCCAAAGAAATCTATGAAACTGCAAGTGTAAGTGATGACCACACCTGCAGGCAGGGCTTGGGGTTTGGAAGGAAAAGCAGAGAGGCCATTTTCTTCTTCATTCTCCCTGTGAGCAGGGCATACCCAGGATGTTGTGAAGTTATGGCTGCAAAGAATGAAACAATCTGGTTTATGACTTAGGCTCCCAAGGCTATCTTGTCTGTCTCTTCAGGCAAACAGACTGGTGCTTAAGGCACACCTTTAATGTTGGCACTGTTGCAGGAAATTATTGGATAATTTACCATTTTACTCTGTTCAGTTACCTTCAACAGACTAGCCCTGTTCACAGGGAGCAAACACACTTATTTAGGCAGTCTGCAATTACTGAAAACTTGTTTGCAGCTACTGATTATTCTGGAAAAGTGACAGGTCAGTTTCAAAGCTCAGCCTATCCTCACTGGTTCTGTGGCTGTTGGAGCTGGTCTTTGTGATTTTAGTAGATATTTTGACTAATTTCTTACTTTAATACCAAATACAACATAAACTCTAGAAATATCTCAGTTGTCTACTCTGTTAAAAAACTCAAAAATTGTTCAATTAATTGGATCAAAATATAAAATTTTATTCAAAAATAAGTAGTAAGAGAGGAAAAGTAAACCATAAACTAGGTGAAGATAGTTGCAATTTCTTGAATTTATACCATCTTCAAATCAGTAAGAAAAAGACAATACTAACTAAAAAATATAAGGGTTAGGGAGATGGCTCTGTTAATAAAGTGCTTGCCATACAAGTTGGAGGACCTGAGTTCAGATCTTCACCACACAAATAAGAAAAGCTAGGTGTGGGTCTGCAACCAAAGCTTTAGGGGGCAGGAAGGACAGGAGAACAAGCGAATTCCTGGAGTTCACTGGCCTGCTCGCTGAGATGAATCTTTGAGTTCCAGACTCAGTGAGAGACCCTCAAAAGACTAGGCAGAGAGTGACAGGAGACACTTGACATTGGCTTCTAGCCTCATATGTACACCTACATGCACACATGCATGTACACACAGATAAACATACAGAATTTAATGTTATAAAAGGTATTAGTCTAAGCAATAATCACACGTAGGTTTTGAACATTATTAATCACCCAGAAGTGATTATTAATCACTTCTCTTTAGATAATGTAAATCTTTTGCCTTTTGTCACCAGGAAAAATAATGAGTGAGGATCAGTACGAAAATGATTAATGAATAACTCAATACATATCCATTATCATCTATCAGTAAAAAAGACTAATGATTCCAAGAGTTGAAGATGCAAATACCCAGACTAAGCTGGGCAGTGGTGGCGCACACCTTTAGTCTCAGCACTCAGAAGGCAGAGAAAGGTGGATCTCTTTGAGTTCAAGGCCAGCCTGGTATACTGAGAGAGTTTCAGGACAGGCTCCAAAGCTACAGAGAAAACCTGCCTTGAAAAAACAAAAACAAAACAAAAAACCCAGACTATAAAGTGTTTTACATACTTTCTTTGATAATTTATCTCAGACCATACCACCTTAAACTCACTGGGTCTCACCAAATTTTTTGTAAATTGTTTAGCATTATCAACTAAAGACTATACATATACATACATACCGGCTCTGTAACACAGCCATGTAAACTGGGCATGGTGACACATACATGTCATCAGAACCAAGGAGGCTGAGGCAGGAGAAGCGTGAGTCTCAGGCCAGCCAGGGTTATACAGAACAATTCTGCTTAAACAAACAACGATGGAGAAAAAAGTAAAAAAGACATGTGAAAAACACCCATGGTAGCTATATTCCTTATAAATTAAAACTGAAAATGACCCAGCAGACAGAAAATCTGATGTATGTTCATCTAATAAAATCCTACATAGCACTAAAACAAGAAAATAAATTACCAAAGTGATACAACCAGAAGAGCCCACATACCTTTAAGGCAAGCAAAATCAGCAGGTTACCAGAGTACAAACAGAAATCTAAGAACAAGGAATAGATCTAAAATATCTACATACAACAAAGTAACAAATACACACACAGAGACACTTGTCTCTTTAAAATAACAGAGGATTAAATGCCATCTCTCCTCTCTTGACTAAAGGAGCCCCAGTCTTGCCTGGTACTTTCTCCTATTCATTTTCTTACTGATAATTCTTTCCTCAACTCCTTTATTTTATATCTATTCCTTAATCTCCCAGAAGAGAACTTCCTTATCACTGTACTTTCAGATCTCAGCTATGTTCTGCATTGAGGGACCAGGAAGGAAGAAGACAGTTGACTGAAACACTGTTGGGAAAGAAGAGTCAAAGGACTGCAAAGACTATCACCAAGAAACTTTAAAGCCTAAGCTTAAAAACCAATTAAGAAAACAGATGTAAGGAGGCAAAGAAATGAAGTCAAATCACTGAAGATCAAATGCGGTCAAAATGAGAAGTTACTGAACTGATGGCTGTGAATGATTTAAAATTGTTGAAGATAATGAAGGTATTGACAGTTATTGAAAGGATCTAAAGTATTAGAAGGACTTACATACTCAAGCTGAAACGAAGGCAGGAGAGAAAGCAAGAAATCAAGACACCAGAAAGCCAGGGTTTACGTGAGTTAGTGCAGCTTTCTGTCATCTCTAAGAATAGCAACATGAATAAATGTTGCAACAAAGATAATTTAAGTATTCAATGAATAAAATCAGATCTGTAAGGTCTGACAAGGGCTTAGGTAGGCAAAAACTACTCACGGAAAAATACATTGAAATGCTTAAAAAAAACCCACAAAATAAATTATTCATGCTTTTCACATACTGAATAAATATAATTTGTAAATGTACTCCAAATTCATGATTGCAATTGCCTGAGAAGGGGAACGGTACTGAAATACAAAACTGAGCTACACAAGGAGAACTACTATTTTCTCCTAATGTTCTATTAGTTCATTAACAGACAGGAAACAAGAACAAAAAGAACCTGCTAAATATTCCACCAAGCTTACATCACAAATAACAGTCATTATTATTTACTATTCTTTAGGGTTAACTCTTCCACTTAAAAAGATACCATGTCATTATCATAAAAGGATTAATTTCATTAAAAATATTTTTCTGTTTAATGTTTTTCTGGGTAGTAACCTAGCTACTTGTTTGATTAGAGTTAGGATATCAATTATCAATTTGTGGAAGAGCTGTCCCAAATGTGCACTTGCTGTCCTAAATAGGCAGTATTCAAAATGAAACTGATGCCTGAATTAACAAGCTAGATTGTTCTTTAAGTTGCAAATAAACACATACAAAGTCCTTATGTGAGGTTTATACACAAGGTCAAAGACATACAAGAATTACAAATAAGTAGTGAGGTGTTTGTCAAAAAGAGGTATACCATCTCTGTTGATTAGAAAGGCTGAATAACATTAATAAAATAATTCATTTATACTAAAGGTCAAAACATAGTCAATGAAGCAGCAGGAGCATCAGAATTAATTTGCCTGTACACAGAATAAACTACTTGCTTATTTCTTTGCTTCAGTACATTACATGAGTCTGCATTATTTGCACAATACTTTTAGTAACCATTACTTACAACAAAGCTTGAGAATCAAGGTGAAAACTCTATTTTTTTGATGAAGGTTATGATTTAACAGATTCTTTACTGTTGTTGCTTTTGGTTTTTCAGGACAGGGTTTCTCTGTGTAGCCCTTGCTGTCCTGCCTCAAACTCACAGAGATCCACCTGCTTCTGCCTCCTGAGTGCTGCTGGGATTAAAGTTGTGTATCACCACAGTTCAGCTTAACAGATTCTTTAAAAAACTATCAGATTAAATGATTAATAGTTCTTTTAAAACATGTTCTTCAAAAAGATTTTATTTTAAATTATGTGCATGTGTGTTTACACACACAAGTGCAAAGGCCTGAGGAGGACAGAAGAGGGCACTAGATCCCTGGAGCTGGAGTTACAGGTGGTTGTGCATTACCTGAAGGGATACTGGGAACCAAAGTTGGAGCCTCTGTAAAACCAGTATGCTCTCTTAATTGCTGAGTCATCTTTTCAGTCATTTTTTTTTTCTTTCCTTTTGAGGCAGAATCAGTAGCAAATATTGGTCTTAAATTATTTTTACAATCTCAATCTTCCTGTCTCCATCTACTTAACACTAAGTTTATACAGTATTTTTATGTTTATGCTTTTTTATTACAGTATACTGGTAACATTATAAATAGCGTATTTGTGAAAATAAGACAAATTTAGGCAACCTTAAACTAACAGACTTACAGTTAGTGATGTCAGGTGGTGCATAGCCATCATTTATGTACATACTTGTTGGTTTTGCCACTTTCAAATAAACAAAATCAGATGTGTTCTTTAAGGCAGTTACTGCTTCTTCATGAGTAACTTCTTCTAAACATACACTATTCACCTACAAGAAAATACCAACAGATAATATTTGAAGACATTTTCATATGCTTTCTGATTTTAGTTGGAAATAATCACCAAAGTGATGTGGGATATGGGAAAGTGATTTAAGGAAAACAAAGATATGTGGAAAGAAAAATGCCCATCGTTCTATGATACAAGGAAATTAACTATATATGTTCATGAAATAGACAATTTTGATCCTAGCTCCTTTTCCCCAGCCTCAATTGGCATTTAGGGATGTAGTATTGGAGGCACAATAACATTCTTAGGAATAAACAGTACTACAATACAAACTAAAAGTAAACTATGCACAAATATCAAGGCATTTTTGTCATTAAATGTTTGCTTATTCAGTATCAGATATGCATCATTAAGAGCTGACAAGGTACACTGAGAGATTCAGGGTTCAGAAGGAGAGAAGGTGATCTCAAAGTTTTAGACTTAAGCACAGTTATCTGACATTTATCAGTCTTGACTTAGAGTTTCAACCACGACCTTGGGATTAAGCACTAACAAAACACAGAAAGCATGCATACCTTAATGTTTGGATTCTACAGAGATTAGAGAATAATAAGGAAGGAGAGAACCAGTGATAGTGAGATAAAGAAAAATATCAAGTTAGAGAATAGTTATGCTAAATAAAAAAGCTAATTTAGAGAATGAAGGTGTGTCATGCACCAGGTTAAGTCAATTAATAAAGATGCTTCAAATTGTATACTTTCAGCGCTGAAGTTTGAGACAGAATGAAAAGCCCTGTTGCTTTTGAAAAAATCAACACAGGTTACTGGCTTTTTGCCAACAATACTGGTTCTGGACAATCAATAAAAAGAAAGCATAGTGCACACAAAATAAAAAATAAAATTGAGGGATATATATATATATCTAAGTGGGCAAAAGAACTAGTTACACAATCCTGACTACTTGAATTAGATTCCTGGACTCAAAAAACAACCCAGCTGTGCGATGTACATCTGCCTTTCCAGCATTCCTAAAGATGGAAGGCAGAAACAGGACTCAGCAGGAAGCTTGCCAGACAGCTAGCCTGGAGTATGCAGCACAGCAGCAGAAACAAGGATAGACCCTGCCTCAAGAAGATGGAAGGTAAATCCTGAGCTAGCACGTGTACTCATACACATTTATATAGAATAAAAAATAAGTGAGAAAAATTTGGTGGATATGCAATGCTGTTTATATTGGCAGGTATGTATTTGTGGTGAAACTACCACTTATAGCTTGGGGAAAGACTGGTAATTCTGCTGTAAGACGAGAGGAGAGAACAAAGAGTCTTGCTCCTTCCCTTTCCCTATTGCCAAGTGCTAATGTTGAAAAAAGTTACAAGTGTCTAGAAAACAGTAGGATGGTAGTAATGTTACTAAGAAAATACCCAATGAGCCAATAAACCCATATGTAGTAGTCAATGAAACTAGGTATACAAGTGCACAGCAATTCTTCCTACCATATTATTTATAACACTCCCCCAAGTGGAAGTGACATAATTACCACTGTATTACACCCCTTTTATGGCTTTACAAATTTATCTGACCCCTTACATCACTAGGCCTTTGTTGTGTGATATTTTGTTTGTGTTCTGACAAATAAAGCTTGCCTGGAGATTAGAGGGTGGAGCTAGCCAACAGCCACAGAAGCTGGGTGGTGGTGGTTCATAACTTTAATCCCAGCACTCTGGAGTTGAAGACAGGAAGTGATAAGGTGGGGTGGAGACAGGATCTCCGCCTCTTTTGGTCAGAGAATTCAGAGGCTGCTGCTCTGCTTTTTTACCTTTCAGCTTTTACCCTCCTATCTGACTCTGGGTTCTCACTGATTAAGATTAATTAGATGAATGCTTCATCTGGCATCCACCTTTTGGGGCACGAATTCACAAAATAGCCATTTGTCTGTGGCTTCGCAGCCACCAGCACCCACACACACAGTTCAAACTGCACCGGCAGAGTCACCACACTGTCAGCTGTCTTTCCCTTTCTTACAAGTCCTTTGAGTGTGGGATTTTTCTGTTGCAGCCTGTCTGCAGCAAACTCCACAGGTGCTTGGGATCCAAATGCTGCTGGAGCTAGTCCCCCATCACTGGCTAGCTCTGCCAGCTCTGTGTACAGTTTTTCAGATGGCAGGCTCCCTTTCCCAGGGGGTTGTGGGCTTTCTCTAGACCCCATCCTCAGGCTGCTGCCACACTAGGTAGCTGCTTTGACACCTGCTTGGGGTTCTACGTAGCAGCAGTCAACCTCACACGTCACTGTCACTGTCAGCAGATCTTATGAGACAATTGGGAATTCTTAAAGGGGGGGGATTAGTTTTAAAAAAAGTTTTTTCCTATGTTAAAAATTGGGAAACACTAACAATGGAGGGAGTTAGGTCTCTGTATGATTACACAAAGGATGGTTTAAAAAGGGATAATCAACTTAACTGGGATAGGTACAATATTAACTATCATTTTGATAATTCTTATTTTATCCCCCCAAAAGTTGGTTGATATGAGTGCCAAGACACAAGTCGTAGAAAAACTTATTACAGCAGATATTCAGACTCATATTCATAGAGATATTTAAAGAACCAACCTCAGGACTACATTATAAGGTTAAGAGAGGAACAGCCCAAGGTGTTCAAACAATCAACCTTAATTTATCCAGTTACCTTACAGGAACTGCCAAATGACAGATATCCCCAAGTGTGGAAATATACTGCTTATGATTAATAAAGCCTGCCTGGGGATCAGAATGGAAAGCCAGCCATACTAGTTAGTCACAGAAGCTGGGCAGTTATGGTACATACCTTAAATGCCAGGACTCAGGAGACAGAGGTAGATGGATCTCTGTGAGTCCAAGACCACCCTGGGCTACATAAGAGTGAATTAGTCTAAAAAATTAACAGAGCCCATGCCTTTAATTCCAGCACTGGAGAGAATGTAAGGAGCTCAGTGCAGTCTCAAAGAGCAGTCAGAGGCTTGGTGGAGAGCAGTGCAGTCTGGAGATGCAGTCTGAGGACAGGATCGCCCCTCTGGTCTGAGCATAGGTAGAGGTGAGAACTCTCTAGTGGTTGGCTGCTTTGCTTCTCTGATCTTCAGCTTGAATCCCTATATGTGTCTCCAGGTTTTTATTATTCATGCTACACCCAAGGCTGTATAAGAACTGACTAGATTCCTGTGGAAATATTAGATTTCAGGAAGTGATTGTCTCATATGGTATGCATTCACTTTTTGTTAACATCAGCAGATGTTAAATTCATGGTCAACCAGTAACAGGATTATCCCACAAGACAAAGACTTGGTTACAGCTGTATTGGAGTCTAGTTCGAAATTGTACTGGAGGACCTGGTGGAAAGATGAGGCTAGGGCCATTGAATAGTGAAGCAGGGCTAGAGGTATTGAAATTTCCAAGACCAACTTCTTAGAGAGGGCAATCTTGCTGATGTACAAAGACAGTCTCTATATGATGACCACATCCTGGCTCTACGCTGTACAGCAGCCTTGAATGCTTAGGACAGAATTGAAGAAGTTAGAAAGAGAACTGAGTCATTTACTAAAGTTCCTGCCTTACTTCTTTTGGTGATGAAGAGTGATATGGAAGTGTAAGCCAAATAAATAAACCCCTTCCTCCACAACTTGCTTTTTGATCATGCTGTTTAGTTGCAACAATAGAAACCCTAACTAAGATACATGTCTAACTCTCTCCTCCCTCTCTGGGCTTCTTAGGACCTTAACTTTTCTTCAGGTTCCATTTTCCTAGAGAACATGAAGACTAAGAGATAGACTGTGATAGAGTCATACAGTTGAGCTTGTTGTAATGGATTTTAGCTCTAGGAAATGATATGGGTACATTACAGTAATACCATACTGAGTGAAAAAAAGTATGAGACAACTATATATAATCCAATACCCTCAAAAGTTTCCAAAGAATAGAAGCTAAATATTTAGACATGTATGCAACTAAACATTTTTATTATTTTATGTGGTTTTTTTCATGCGTGCGTACGTGTGTGTGTGTGTGTGTGTGTACAAATACACTTGTGCATGCCTGGAGGTAAGAAGGTGCATCAGATTCCTGGTAATTAGAGCCACCGTGTGGTTGCTGGGAACCACACCTGGGTCCTCTGAAAGAGCAATAAACACTCCCAAGCACTGAGCCATCTCTCCACACCTGTTTAAACAATTTATAACTAGAAAGAAATAAAAGAGATATACAAAATTATTTGTGTTCTAGTTTTTGGGATGAGTAATGACTTCATTGGTTTTTATTATGTTATAAATAAATGATTTAAAACAAAAGAGGATCACACAACCACACGGAACACTGCACTGTAAACTAAGATTGTGATTTAACAATTCTGCGCATTTCAAGACATCAACTCTTTAACTAGGAAAGAGAGGTAGGAGAGAAGAGGTGGAGAAGATGGGGAGAGAGAGAGGGAGAGAGAGCGAGAGTATGAGAGAGAGGGGGGATCAAAGAGAGAGTGTAGCTGGTGAGAAAAAGGCAACAAGAATCAGTGCATGCTAGAATTCACTCAGATGTCTCTTACATGGTTTCAGTATGGAAATGATCAGTTTTGATAGGAAAATGTAGACATGAGAATAGATTTAGAACACTACTTATACTCACTGCTAGAAGTTTATCTCCAATCTGAAGCTTGCCATCTTTGTGTGCTGCGCCTCCTTCAATTATTTTGGTTACATAGATGCTGTTATCACCAGGAATATGCTGATTTCCAACACCTCCAGCAATGCTGAATCCAAGACCTGGTTGGAAAGTATTTATTTAGAATCTCATCAATAAGGTGAATTATTACAGCCCAGGGGAAAAAGGATGACAATCAGAAGTGATCACTCCACCAAACAGAAAGTGATTTATTTAGTTATCTGCTTTTAAAATCTTGAGTATAAGGGACTGGAGAGGTGGTCAGTGGTGAAGAGCACTGATAGCGCTTATACAGGACCAGAGTTTGGTTCTGAGCACCCACACGATGGCTCACAATCATCTATAACTCCAGTTCTAGGGACCCAAGTCCTCTTCTGGCCTGTGACCACCAGGTGACTAACATGGTGCACAGATATTAAACAAGCAAAACACTCATACAGATAAATCAAAATTAAAAAAAAAAACCTTAGGTTATAAATGCAGGAATTCTAATAGTTACAGATATTCCTTTTTCTTTGAATTTCTTCTTAAAAAGTCTTTCTGTAAGTAGAATTGAGAATCAACAAAAACATAAAATTATGTTTCATTTTTGTTTGTATCATAATTACACTGTTTACTAGCACTTTAATATTTTCACAAGATTGAAATGAGAGGAAACGCTTTGTTTTGTTTGTACCAGGCTTTACAAATGTGGTCACTGTGCCCTCCCAATAGTCTTGAACTGACAACTTTAAATAACAATCTCTGCAGTTCCAAAATCCCATCTCCAGTACCAAATTATCCAGTTCCTATTTGTTGTTATCTTATTCCTCTAATAGGTTAACTACTAGAGTTACTACATTTACTTATCCTCACTCCCATCAGTGTCTTTCAGAATTCACAAATCGCTTTACCAGCCCTTGCTACAGAGGTGACTGCCATGATACACACCATACTATCTTATTTTAACCTGACCGACACTCTACATTTACTCTGAAGATACCAAAAAGTTATATAAACACTACCCATGATTTCAAGAGACAAATATTTCTTTTAGTAGTAACAGGTTAACAAAATGACACTTAAAAGCAGATACAGATGAGTCTACTTGTATATCAAGTGGAGGGCTGATGACATGCATCAACTGGCAAGGGTGCCTGCTACCAAGACTGATAACGTAAGCTGACCTTTAGCCTTAGGGATGCACATGAGGAAAGAGAGAACTAACTCTTGTGAACTGCCCTGACTTCCATATGCACACCATGGCAAATAAATGTAATTAAAAAATTTAAAGTAAAAATTCTGTTCCCTTCTTTTTAAAGCTATTAAGGGTAGGTTACTAAAAAGCAAGACAGCCTTTCAAAAAAGGTAAGGTGGAGGGTTGGAGAGGTGGCTCAAGAGGTTAAAAGCACTAACTACTCTTCCAGAGGTCCTGAGTTCAATTCCCAGCAACCACATGGTGGCTCACAACCATCTGTAATAAGGTCTGATGCCCTCTTCTGGTTGCTGGTGTATATGTAGGCAGAACACTGTATAAATAATAAATACATCCTTAAAAAAGGGGGGGGGAGGTGGAGAGTGCCAGAGAAGACAGCTGTTACCACCTTTTGGTCTCCCCAAGCATGTCATGCATGTATATGAATACGGGCATGCACACCAATACTACATACATACAACATCCACAAAGAACTTACTCTTAAATTTATACACACATTAACAATAAAATGTGTACAGTCATGGAAAGTAACATAGGACCTTTCAAACGCTGTGACCTTGTAGGAGTGCAGCGGTCAGTCTAACATTCTACTTGAGACACACAGCAGTGGGAATAACAAAACAAAACAAAAAAATCTATGAACCTACTGAAATTCTGTAGAAAATTATAAGTATGATAACCTTTGGACATAAAAAATGTTTAACTCATATTTCTTAGTAATGTGTTAGTTTGACTTACAACATACCTTTAGGACCTTTAATGAGTTTTATTTCCATTATTTTCTCTGATACTGGCTTCCGCCTTTTCACATACAATCGCACAATAGATCCAGCTTCTTTCAATGCCTCGACTGCTTTGCTATGGGTTACATCTCGAACATCTGCTTCATTGACCCTCAATATACAGTCATTTACTCTGAGAAAAACATAAAATATCACAACAGTAAGTACCAATGTTTGATTTTACCAATTTTTAATTTTGTTTTGATAAAATATCACAGAAAGTATAAATGAAGATGCTACATGTTAAATTTCAATATGTAAATTTCTCAAGAGCTAGCAAGTGAGGAAAATAAAAAATGAAAATAGATTACTTAAAAATATTAATTATTTGTATACTTCTTATGTACACACAAAGATATGTGATAAAAATAGCAAACACTTGGCACTGACCACATGCTAGGCACTTCCTTAGTGTTTTAATCCTTAAAACTACTTGTACCAGGTGTGTGTGTGTGTGTGTGTGTGTGTGTGTGTGTGTGTGTGTGTGTGTATGTGTATGTATGTAATATATTTTTTCTACCCACTTTATAAATGGGGAAAATGAGGCATGATGAATTTTAATACAGTGCTCTCATGGTCATCAATGAGTGACAGCTAACAGCGCTGTATTTAATAATAAGAAAAATGACCAGAGGGCTGGAGAGGTGGTTCAGAGGTTAGGAGCACTAAACTGCTCTTCCAGAGGCCCTGAGTTCAATTCCCAGCAGCCACATGGTGGTTTACAGCCATCTGTAATGAGATCTGGTGCCCTCTTCTGGCATGCAGGCATACATGGAGGCAGAATTTTGCACACATAATAAATAAATAAATTTTAGAAAAGGAAAAGAAAAAAGAAAAATGGCCAAGTGGTGGTGGTGCACATCTTTAAGTCCAGCTCTCCTGAGGTAGAGGCAGGCAGATCTCTGAGTTTGAGGACAGCCTGATCTCCAAGTGAGTTCCAAAACAGCCAGGGCTACACAAGAGAAACCTGTCTCAAAACAAACAAACAAACAAACAAAAAAATCAACACAAAACAAAACAAAAAGAAAAGTGAAGCTCAAGAAACTTAAGGTCAGTTAAACTAGTTGAAGGTCAGAAGAAGGTAAGTGTCAAAACTGAAATTAAGTGATGAAATTTTAATTTTTTCAAACCAGAGATGTAGCATTAAAATTACTTCTTGAAACTTACATGAAATTAAGGACCATACCATTTACTTCAAAATTCTCTTACGAAAATAACATAATTTGACATCATAACTAAAATTTTCTTTTTTTGTGCCTATTCTCAACATTTTCATTTTAGCAGCTCTGGTCCTGGCTTTGACTGCATGGCACTCCATTAGAAAAAAAATGTTGGTCATTTCAAATTAGCAGAGGAGAACAAAACATACTTAAGATATTAAAACCAGCTCTGGCAGGGTGTCGGTGGTGCTCACCTTTAATCCTAGCACTTGGGAGGCAGAGGCAGGCGGATCTCTGTGAGTTCGAGGCCAGCCTGGTTTATAGAGAGTTCCAGGACAGGCTCCAAAGTTACACAGAGAAACCCTGTCTTGAAAAAAACAAACAAACAAAAAACCAGTCCTGATAGGTTCTGCAACATACCCAAAGAAATGACTAGTATTCTGAGAGAGCTCTTCATTTAGACAAGGAGCATACTAATTTTCACATACACTGTACAAACAAAAGGGCCGTGACATAAGATTAGGAAGTAAATGTCTCATAAGCACAGATGATCAAATTCCTAATGTTTATGTCTAATTCCACTAATATAGTACCTGTCATACAGTGAGGAACTACATAAAGTACTAAGAATCTTAACACAAGATGCTGATTTAATAGCTCATAGACTAAAAAATCCTTACTCCCAACATGTAAGTCTGTACCTATACATAAACATAGTCCAACCAAAGAAACAGGAAAAATGCCAGTTTCAAAAGACATTTTTCCAAAACAGAACACTATATAAATCATATATATGTTGCTTAAACAGAAAATAAAATAGTTTTGTGACTTTATCTGAAAACATCAAGGACAGCTCAGGACGTCTATAAAATTGGTTACAGACATTTAAGCTATCAAAATGCATTACTCAAAGTATTAAAATACCTAATATAAAACTGAATTCCTAAAAGATGGAAACAATACAAAGAGCAAAATTACCTGAGAGTTGGCCATTTAAACGGGCTTGGGCATCTACCTACATTTAGTTACTATGCTGCTTTTCCTTTTTGTTAGTCCATGTCTTTTGTAACATCATAGCATTAAGTTTAAGACATACCGCAATCTTCCATCTTGGGCAGCTGCTCCTCCTGTGATAATTTTGGTGATGAAAATACTTGAATCATCTCCAATGTGTGGGTTGTCTGTACCTCCTGCAATGCTGAAACCAAGCCCTGAATTTCCCTAAGGACAGAGGGGGAAAAAAAATCCAGAGAGCTAAGCATTTGGGTTTTAGAAACTATACTAAATAGGAACTATAATACAAAAAGGACTATGCACAGGTAAGAGAAAGGCTGGAAATAAAATAGACATGCTCCTCATATAAGGAAAAATTTCTTGAGAGTTATTACTGCTCAGTAGGGGAGGCTGAAGGAAAGGTACTGAGTTCTTCAGTAGCCTAGTTTGAGGTTCTTTATTTACCAGTATGTGTAATTTGTCTGTGAATCACTCTCTACCCAGAGGTGACACTACACATTTCTTTTCAAATGCACCTCATTCATGTTTGATAGGGCAAATCTCCTCACTTTATATCATCCAGGTAATGTATTTGAGAAAGGTCTTCCTATATAGCCTAGACTAACATCAAACCTGATGCAATCCTGGCCTTGGCCGCAATGCCCAGGATACAGATGTCACAATGCCTGGCTGATGCTTCATTTCACCTTTGCAAAAAGGGGTGAAGGTGGTGCTTTTCTTCCTACCACTTGGCCAGCTGCTGGTAAGTAGCAGCAGCCATTACTCTGTGAGATATTTAAATAATGTGCCCAAATTTTTTAGTACTGAAGCCCAATCTGAGAACTCAATGTTGGTGAGCTTTTCCGACGGCAAGTAGACTTTGCCAATTGCCATCTTACTTTTTTTTTTTTTTTGCTTATTTCACAAACAGCAAAACTGAGTTTCTGAGTAATATTTGCACACAAAAGGGGTCCTACTGCCATTAAAAGTCTATAAAGAGTAATGACTATTCTTTGACCTAAGAAAAGGTAGCTAGAAATTTTTATTTTCTCAAGGATTTTCTGCATGTAGCTTCTTAGCAACTCAAATAAGTAGGTATATCTGACTTACTACTTAGTATTCATATTTAATAACATAGACATCCAATTTTCCAATATTTGTCTTAAAATTCCAATAACTGATTTTTTTCAGTTTAAATTCCTTAAAGAATTAGGATGTCAACACTACTATAAAAGATTGTGAAAAGCTGCCAAGAAATTTAAGTATTTAAGTTTTTCAAGTAGTGAAAAATATATGGTCTTAAACTAAATTTGAGAAATATAAAAGGCATGGAGAGGATTAAAAAGAATAAATCAAACAGCAAGAGATGTCATGAAATGCCACATTAAAATATATGTGATAGATTAATGCTGAGCTTGTATGTTACTGAGGCATCTGCCTAGCTTAAGTGGGTGGCCTGAAATTAAACAGTAGACGATGAAGATCTACTACATATGCAAAGACCCTTTCAGTTTTACTTATTTTCCAGGGCATCCATTATGACTTCAAACACAACAAAACATAAGTATCGAAGATTTTAGTTTAAAAATGCAGACATTCTGTTACTCTGGAGAGTTACTTTCATAGAATATTTAATTCCTTGGAAGTATCTGCCAGACAAAGACAGCCTTTCCAAAATACAGCATAAACTGATCACACAAGCACACACTCTTATCCTCACATATATGAACGTATGTAGGTAGGTATGTATATTTGAGACAAAGTCTCATATAGCTCAAACTGCTTTGAATTTGCTATACATTAAAGCTGGTCTTGAACTCCTGGCACCACCTCCTAAGTGCTGAGAATAACAGCATGCTACTTTCTTAGGAAAAAAAAAAAAAAGTAACAAGCATCCAAAGGAGATAACTAAATGGAGTGTAGTTTCCTGGAAGAAAAAAAAAGCAACATAAAAACTAAGAATAAGAAGTTCAGTTAATAATGCATGTACATATATTGATCCATTAGTGGAAACAAATACACTGTAGCAAAGGCAGGTGCTAACAGTAGAGAAAATAGAGTACAAAGTAACTGGGATTCTCTGTATTACTCATATGCCTTTCCTGTAAATCTATAAACATTTAACTGATATGAAAGAAAATAAACATTTTTAAAATAGCATGGCTAATTTTATGATCTGTGATCTTAAGAAAGAAAACATTGCATTTTTCTGATTTTCAAAGACATTTCTCCCTTGTAACCTATGATTGAACAATATATTTACAAGTTCAAACAACAGATTAAGATAATGATTTTTACCCTTTCAAGTGTGATTTCCTCATATTCATAATCTGCATCAGTACCATTAACCTACAGAAGGAAAAAAGGAGGAGCTTAAAAATTCGGAATGAAAAACCCAAAATGTCAAGATAATTCTACATGATTTATTAATGAAAACCTGTTAAATATGACAGTTAAAAGATACAGCTCCATTTTAGTAATTTTAGGAAAGATTTACAAGGAATGAAAGAGTGTAAATATGGCTATGCTACAGTATTATTATCATGACTTTCAAATATAGGAGGGGTACATTTAGTTTTTACTATACTATTTTTGAATAGGTTTTTTTTCTTCCTATTTTCCCCTCCCCCTCCAGACACATTTCTCTATGAAACCCTGACTATCCTGGAACTCACTCTATAGATCTGGCTGGCCTGGAACTCAAAAAGATCCGCCTGCTTCTGCCTCTGGAGTCCTGGGATTAAAGGCATATAGCCCCACCCCCACCTGACTGAATGCTGATTTTTAAAGATTTATTTTATAGAATGTCTTGCCTGCACATGTCTATGCACCACATGCATGCAATTATCCAAGGCCAGAAAAGTACACTGAATCTCAGTGGTTATAAGCTGCTGTGTGGGTGCTGGGAATTGAACCTAGGTCCTAGTAACCAACCCCCTAAAGTCCCATCTTTCTTATCTTGATCCACAAAGCCAATTCAATTGTTTGTCAGCTCTACTGAATTTAAGCATTTTAACTTATGAAAAACTATCACTTCTTCATTTCATTGTTATTACTTTGATTCAGGCCTCATTTACATTTCTAGAATACTGTAAATGAATGTTATCTATTCAATCAAATTTAGATTAGCATTATCTACTGTCTGAATCATTCTTCATGTGTGGATTAAAAAAAAATTATGTATACAGCGTTCGGCCTGCACACCTGAAAAGGGCATCAGATCTCATTATGAATGGTTGTGAGCCACCATGTGGTTGCTGGGAATGAAACTCAGAACCACCAGAAGAGCAGCCACTGGTCTTAATCCCTGAGCCACCTCTCCAGCCCCCAATCATCCTGTGTTTTAATCAGACTCATCTTTCAAAAGTACAGGCTGGTAACAAAACACACTTCTTTCCAAACTTTCTGAATTTCTCCTTGTCTGTGTCTTTCTAACAAAGGCTCTGTATGAAGTAAGCCCCATCTATCACTTGCTCCCACCTGAGACACCCATATATGGTCTCTTCCTCCTTTCACTTTATTCTCTACTCTCTCCAAAGAAGCACTCTCATATTGAGTATGCTTGAATCAGATGAACCAGAGTCTGAATCCTTGCATTCCACTTTCTAGTAATACGGTCAAACGAGATTGAGAGTCTGTCTGTTTCTGAAGATGACTCACATCATTCACCCACTTGACAGTTGCACTACATCAACTGTGAGCTTGAGGCCAGTCTACAAAGTGAGTTTGAACTCTACAAAGTGATTTTTAGGACAATCAGACTGTTACACAGAGAAATCCAGTCTTGGAAAAGAAAAATTTAAAAAGGAAATTAAAATATAATCAACATAATGGAAGAAAATTTTGAAGCCCTATACTCACAGAGGACTTGTATTCAGAACACTTCAAAGGGTATGAAAAGGCAACTAAAAGAAGGCAAATTATCTAAATAAACATTTCTCCTAAGATGTGCAATGGCCAGTAAATACATGAAAGATGTTTAACTCCAACAATCATTATGGGAATGTAATCCAAAGCCACAATAAGATGCAATATCTATAACTAAGAATCCTGTTAACAACACCCTTGATGAGGAATAACAAAATGAGTGGTGGTTGGAGAAACTGGAAACCCCATGTATTACCAGTGGGAAATAGAAAATGGTATAGCTATGTTGGAAACTAATTTATCAGTACCTTAAAATGTAAATACATTTGTCATATAGCCTGGCAACTCCGTGAAATGAAACTATGGGCACTCAAACTTGTAATGATAAACACATTAGTTTTACTCCTAACAGCAAAAGTGGATGTAACCCAAATCTCTGCTGATGAGCATGTTTCTGTAAGAGAATATTTAGTAATAAAAAAGAATGAACCAGCAAGGTGCTCAGTATGGTCTGATATGCTCAAGGATCTTGGTTGAATCTCCAGCACTTGAGGTGGGGTAGAACAGGGCACCAAAACAGTAACGAAAATAAAATCACAAAACTGATGCTTACTACAACATGGACAAACTTTGAAAGTACTATGCTAAGAGAAAGGAGCCAGACACCCCCCAAAAAAAAGTTTCAAGTGGAATGATTTTATTTATATGACAAATCCAAAATAAACAAAACACATAGCCTGCCCATTAAGGAAGAGTGAGAAGTGGTTTTTTTTGTGGGTACAAGGTTTCTATATAAGACAATGAAAATGTTTTAAATTAGTGGTTATGACAACACAGCATTGAGAATAAATGAAAAACACTGCAGAATGTACTTTAAAAGGGTAGATTTTTTGGTGGGTGATTATGGCGCGGGGGAAGATGGTAAAACAAGGTCCTTCTCTACATCCCCAGCTGTTCTTAAACTGTCAATTCTCCCATGTCTGGATACTGAGTGGTGAGATTACAGACATGCTACTAACTCTGGTGAAAAGTTAGAAAAAGAGTGACCTAAGTACAATTTACAACAACAAGTTAAGGTATTTCAAATGGCATGTTAAACACAACTAACGTTTATTAGCACCGAGCTGTTGAAAGACTGGGGTAAAAATACATGGATGTATTTTTGTTGAAATATGAATAGTCAAAACTTTTTAAGTGCAACTTGGCAATAGTGATCAAATGTAAACATTTTAAGCAATTTTAGTTATTTATTTGCTCAAGACTTTAAAACCCCCTTTTAAAAGACAGGCTCTCATGTAGCCCAGATTGCCCTCAAGCTTGCTGTAAACTGAGCCCAACCTCCTGATCCTGCTTCTACCTGGTATGAGCTGTGATGATAGGTGTGCCAATATGCACACTCATGAATGGCTAGAAGCTACGCTTATTTCAATATATTTTGATTATGTACTTGTACATACAGAAACATATCTCTGAATGATCAGTAGGTCACTGATGGTTCATTTCCACTGTCAGTTTTATTGAATCTGAAGGCACCTAGGAAACATACCTCAGGGTATGTTTATAAGGGTATTTCTGGAGAGGTATAACTGGAGAGGTATGGTGGGTGGCACCATACATGGACTGGCACTACTAAAAAACTGATCACGTAATTGAAATTCTAAAATTATCGTGATTATACAAGTAACTATGCAAAGTCATTATGAGTTGGGCTAGAGTGATGGCGCAGCAGCTAAGATCACTGGCTGCTCTTCCAGAAGACTTGGGTTCAATTCCTAGCACCCACATGGAGGTTTGCATCTGTAATTCCAGCCCCAGGGATCTGGTGCACTCTTGTAGCATTCATGGGCACTGCACACATACAGTGCAGAGACATACATCCAGTCAAATACTCATACACATGAAATAATAACTATAGCCCACCCTCTAAATTATTAAGTATGCAAAAGCATTTAGTGAAAGTTATAAACTCAAAATTAAAACATAAATTTCTACTTTGTGTAAATCCTAAAACAAGGTAGTACTGTTTCATTTACTATAGCAACTCAACTAAAACAAGATAGTATGATTTTATTTACTATCAATTATAGATATATTGTATGTCAGTAGCAACAAATTTTTTTTGAGATAGGGTCTCATGTAGCCCAAGGCTGGCCTTAAACTCCTGATCATCTATCTGCCCCTGCTTACCAAAGGCCAGAATTTCAAGTGTGTGCCATCGTGATGATCAGGTTTGCAGTGGTAGAAAGTCTTAAGTAAAAGGTATTATAGAAATTAATTATAGAAATTAATGCTGTGGTCTTTTTGACTACATCAAATTGAACAAGAAAAGGCAGAATTAGTTAAATCTGGTGATGAAACAGAACTTACATAAGTTGGTGTCTCTAAGCTGTCTGTGTTGACTAGCACTGGAGGAGGATTTGCCTGTAAAGAAAGAATTGTAAAGTGTTAGTATAACAAGGAAACCAACAGGCTACATTATCTTGTTCCAAATATTAACATGTTAATAAAGACTGGATGCTAACTTTTTTTTTTTTGAATCAGGTATTGCTCTGTAGTCCAGCCTAGGCTTGACTTGTGAGACTTCTGATGCAGCCTCCCAGGTGCTGGATTGAATTGGCTTATTATCGCTAAGGTTATTATTATTTTACTTGAGCTTTTGACATACTAAACACATTCAGGTGAGATGCATTAAACAGTACAGCCAAGTGAGAGAAAATGAGACATAAACAGTTGTAACTAGGTGTGCTTTTTGAGAAATAAGATGCTACTGTTTCCCCTTTCCTATTGTCTTATGTGTGTTTATGCACATTTATGTATATGTGACACACACGTGAACACATGCACATGGAGGCCTGAAGTTAATGTCTGGAATCATCCTCCTCTACTATTAAACCTCATTCTTTGAGGCATGTTCTCTGACCAAAACCCTGTCTAGCTACTTAGCTTGCTCTAGGGATCCTTCCCCTTCCCATTCTACCTCTAAATTCCAGAAGGCCCAAATTACAGGCAGGATGTACATCCACCACAATCCTAATGGGCTCTGGGGATCTGAACTCTGGTCCCCGTACTTGCTTGGCAAGTACCTTAACCATAGAGTGTCTCTCCAGCTCCTAAGACTCCATTTCTATGAAAACAGGTATACATTTAAGATTTGAAAAGAAGCCCACCACTCTTCTCTAAGCCAAGTAGCACTCTTTAGTAAAACAAACAAAACAACTTTTCAAGGAAACCCAGTTATTTTATTTCCAACAATCCCAAAGATACCAACCATTTTATCAACCCAGAAAAAAATTGTGTCAATAATGAATTGTTTGAATGTTGAAAAAAAGAATTCCCTTGAAACAAACACAAATTGAAAAATTTAGAATATTTCTCCATGTAAAGACCTAGAATATTTTGGGCAGAAATTCCTACTCTTTGCTAGACCACCCACAAAATAATTTACTATAGCAGAGCATCACAGTATACTCCAAGATCTGGCATTCTTTTTGTAACCCTGGCTGGCCTCAAGTTCACAGCAATGCTCCTACCTCAGTCTTCCAAATGCTAGGATTACAAGCATAAATCACCATGTCCAGTTTTGGGTAAGTTACTTTAAAATGTGAATATTTGAGCCAGTGGGGAAGACACAGTCTTGTAATCCTCCCACAGGGTTGAGTTCAAAAACAGCTTGAGCTTCAAATGATACACTGTTGTCAGTCAACTATTTATCGGAATGATCATATATATAAAATGCATAAACAAAACAGTCTCAGTTTGTGCTACATGTATAAGAAGAACAGTTTACAATAAATAGATAATATTTCATTATCTACAAAGACAACATGAATTCCTAAATGGTCTTACCATCTCTGACAACTTAGTGACATCAAACATGATAGATACTCTATCTGTCAAGTACTACTAAGCAACACTTAGAGACATCTGAGATTTTACAGACAGTCGAAATGACTAATTTCTCAGTGGCATAATGAGATTATTCAGGCTGATAGTTTTTACCTTACTCATGACAGAGCTTCACTGTATTCTGCCTAAGCAATTTCAGAGAAGAAAACAGGCTATTCAAAGTTAAAAAAGAAATTATATTGTTCAACCATTGTGTAAAGAAAGCCATTTGGTTTCCTCCTACTTATCTGTAGCAATCATGTGACAGGTAGGTATTTACAGAAATCTAATTTCCATAATTTATTAATATATTAACCATAATTATTACAATGTTACCTGTCAGCATCAATTCATCATTGTAGATGTTTTGCTTTTTATTCTAATAATTTCTAATATTAAAATATGTACATACACTACAGTCTTATATTTACCTAAAAATTAAACAATGCTGAGTAAGTTGTCTATAGATATAGCTAAAATTTAAAGCATTTGTACTGGCATGCTTTTGGCGTTCTGACAAGATACCCCCTCAGCTGCTGCCACTAAGAGGACCATCAGTGCCTATTCAATATGTTCCCTTTTAAAAGGGCCCAGCCCACCTCCTATGCCTCCCATTTCCTCTTTCCCACTGCTCCTGTCCCTGAGGGTGGACTTGTCCCTCCCTTTTCCCCTTTTACGATCCTTATCCCTTAATAAAAACCCCCTCTGCTTGAACTATGTTGCATGGCATCTTTCTCTCTTGAGTCGCTTTTTAAAAATTACAACAGTGGCCGGGCGCTGGTGGCGCACGCCTTTAATCCCAGCACTCGGGAGGCAGAGGCAGGCGGATCTCTGTGAGTACGAGGCCAGGCTGGACTGACAGCCTCCAAAACAGAGAAACCCTGTCTCGTAAAACCAAAAAAAAGAATAAAAAGAAAAAGAAAAAAAGAAAAAAATTACAACAGTGACCATTCCTGAAGGGAAACCTCAAAAAAATATGAAACTGAAGAAAAATACATGAATGTTCACATTAAGGATTAATTAAAAATTTAAATCAAACTAGCATCTGGTAGATAAATCCATCATGACATAAGAAACCCTAGCAATTTAAAATATGTCACAACAGAGTCAGAGACCTTGGAACACTCAGTGCTAAATGGGATGACTCCATCAAATCTCTCTTCAGGGCTCAGAGAATCCCAGAGGAGGAACACAAAGAGTGTAAGGGCCAGAGAGGATGGATGACACGATGAAAACAAGGCCCTCTAAATCAACATGGAAGCTCATAGGAACTCACAGAGACTGAGGTGAAATGCACAGGGCCTGCAGGAGTCTGCACCAGGTCCTCTGTGTATATATTATAGCTTCCAGCTTAGTGTTTTTATGGGATTTTAGTATGTGTGAATGAGTGGGTCTGATTCTTCTCTTGGGCTCTTTTCCCCTTTGATTTTTTTTTTTGCCAGTTCTAATGAGTTAGTTTTTGTTTTACCCTATTTTATAAATTATTAAACACATAATTATTAAAATGTCATAAAAGTTGAAGTACAGTTTAAAGACAGGAAGCTCAAGGGGCAAAATGGTCTGATTACCTCAAGTTTTGGTACCTAAAATAATGGTAAGATATCTAAGAGAAATCTGTAAGGTAGGAAATGAAAACATCTATGGATATATAAATTATCAACTTAAAATTTTCTATCAAGATATAGACATGGTACTTGTTGAAATAGTATTTTATATTTCTCCAATTTAAAGTGACAGGAAAGAATGGAGGAGCACAATTTCAGTGAATTTGGAAGATATATACACAATACAGATAGATACAGTATCCTACCACCAAACTTAAAGCTATGCTACCAGCAAAGATAAAGAACAGGCTACTTCTGACAGAAGGCAGAAAGTATAGCTATAGAAAATAACCTAGTTTTACATAGTTACACTAAACACCTAAAATACATTTCAGAGATTCTTTTGAGTGCTTGTTGCTTCCTTGTAAGCAAGGTCACTTATTCCACTTTACCTCTTGTCCCAAGTAGCCCCTGCTTTCTGTTTTCTTATTATTTTAGATGGGAAAAGAAAAACCCACTTCCTACATCTCACTTAAAGACACTATATGTCAAGACCTGATCTAAGATCTCTATCTCATAGTCATTCTGTGATATAGTAACCAGAATATTCAAACTCTTTATCCAAGAGGACTGTGTGAGGGTCAGAGAAGTAACATAAAGGAAACGTCATAAACAGTAGAAAGTTACACACATGTTTACCTATTATTATTATTATTATTAACACATACAGCATCATATGTGTTCCAACTTAGACAAGAAAGCCCTATAAATCACTAGAGGAAGAGATAGTACAATAGCAAAGACATTTCAGAAAAAGGAACTGACAAGCCAGTAATGAATTGGCCCTGGTTAATAGTAACAGCTAAAGAAAGTTCATTTTACTGTTCTATTTCATCATCAATAAAGTAATAATGGCTGCTGCTATACTAAATTATAAAACTTCACAGAACTCCTAACTGATTAATAACGGTGATGATAGAGAAGTTATACAGCAGACATAGTTCAGTGTTAACAACAGAGGATCTAGGTAAAAGTATGAAACATCTTTGTACCATTTTACAACTTTATAAACCTGAAGTGAGCTGGGCGTTGGTGGTGCATGCCTTTAATTCCAGCACTTGGAAGGCAGAGGCAGGCAGATCTCTGTGAGTTTGAGGACAGCCTGGTCCACAGAGAGACTGCCAGGATAGGCTCCAAAGCTTCACAGAGAAACCCTGTCTCGAAAAACAAAATAAAACAAAACAAACAAATAAACCTGAAGTGATTTGAAAATACAAACCAATATTAAAAAAAAACCTAGAAAGCAATAAAATAAAGGAACTTTAGTCAAGTGTCAGTATATAATTACAAAAAAATTTAATCCAGATAATTACATAAATGCTATTTATTTAAGATACCCATAAAATAAAAACATCAGATCAGACAATATTACTGATATAATAATTTAAGACACAATACGCTTGTCAAAAGGTCCTGAGGTCATTATACCACTAATGTAATGACTTTACTCAATAATGAAATTAATTGCTAACTTTTCTCCTCTATAGTTATATAGGCTCTTGCAGGAAGTCAATTATAGTATTACTATATACATTAAGTCCCCATGATCCCTAGGAGTATCTCTCAAGATGGTGTACAGGTACTTGAAACAACTGGGTAGTAGTACACTGTGTGTGTGTATAAAATCTGTATGTGGATGGTTTCTCTGGTCTGTCTAGAACTTACTTTGTAGACCAGGCTGGCTTTTAACTCACTGTGATTTGCCCACCTGTGCCTTCCCAGTGTTAGTAGCATAGCAATGCACTGTGGTGTCTGTCTGACAGTCTTAAAAAAAATTCCCCATCTATATATCTTACTTTCTTTGGATCAGGTTTGCCTGATCCTCAAACTTACTGGGGAAATGTGATGGTGTAATCTCTCCCTTACAGATAAGGAGAGTATAACATTGAGAAGTGACCTGTTCGTGTTACAAAGACAACTAAACTCTCAATCGTTTACCTTCTGCTTCTGTGCTGGATAGTTTTATGTCAATATGACACAAACTAAAGTCATCTGAGAGAAAGGAACATCAGTTAAAAAAATGGCTCTGTAAGATGGGGGCGGCATGTAGGGCATTTTCTTAATTAGTGATTGATGGGGAGGGCCCATTGTGGTAGTGCCACCTGTGGGCTGGTGGTCCTGGGTTCTACAAGAAGGCATGCTGAGCCAGCCACAAGAAGCAAGCCAGTAGGTAGAATCCCTCCAGGGCCTCTGCATCAGCCTCTGCCTCCAGGTCTGTGCCTTGTCTGAGTTCCTGTACTGACTTCCTTCAGTAATGAACTATGGTGTGGATGTATAAGCCAAATCAATCCTTTCCTCCCCAGCTTGCCTTTGGTAGTAGCCCTGACTTCTATTTCTTTACACCCTGATTCTTATAAAAATAAAATACCATTAAAAGGGCAAACTTGGTTATACATTCTTTTAAAGATTTATTTTATATTACATTTTTAAAATATCTAAAATTTTTTCATGCAATGTATTTGGATCATATTCTTTCCCCTAAGTTCTTCTCCCAGATCTTCACCTATCCAATTTCATGTGTTTTTTTTTCCCTCGCTCAAAAGAAACAGAACAGAATTTAAAAATCCAACAACCCCAGAAGAAACACAGATCCAAAAGACAAAAAGCACCAAACCATAATGACAAAAAGTCAACTACTCCTGAGCATGGGACCTACCCTGGAGTGTGGTTAATATACCCAGTGTCACTATGTTGGAGAAAACAGATTTTCTCTCTCCCAGCATGTATCAACTGGCTTGTATCTGTGCATGATGTCACAGTCTCTGAATTCATGTGTGCAGCAGTCCTATTGTATCTACAAGACTGTCTGAGTCATCCATCATGTCTGGCTTTTACAATTGCCTGCCTCCTCTTCGGCTTTGATCTCTGAGCCTCCAGGGGAGGGTTTGATGAAGGCATGCCATGTAAGGCTGAGTGCTTTGTGGTCTCTCACTGTCTGCATTGTCCAGTTGTGGCTCTCTGTGCTAAAATCCCAGCTGCAAGAAGAAGCTTCTCTGATGAAGGCTAAACAATGAAGAGTTAATTTATTTTTTTTAAGTGTGTGTTATTTGTGAATCAAGTGCCTATAGAGGCTAGAAAAGGGTATCAAATCCCCTAGAGCTGGAGTTAAAGGAGGTTGTGAGCCACCTGGCCTCAGTGCTGGGAACTGAACGTGGGTCTTCTCAGAGCAGCACCTGCTTTTAATTGGTGGGTTAGCTTTTTAGCCCACATTACACATTCCTTAAGAGTATGTTTCAGAACTTAGCTGGGAAGAAACATTTAAGTTCTATTAATTTTACAATAAACATGTTATACTTAATAACGGGGACAATATTTATGTTAAAAAATGAGACAAACCCATCAGCTTTTCTCATAGTAATCTAAGGACATCAGTAGTGGTTATAACTGAAGATATTCCTTTTCTTATATGTGTAGCCTCACTGATTTTGCTTGTGTTTTGAGACAGTCTCTATACAGGCCTGCTCGCTATGGATGACCACACCGGCCATGAACTCACAGAGATCCACCTACCTCTGCCTCCTCAGTGCTGGGATTAAAGGTGTGTACCACCATACCTGGCTGCTCTGACTTTTAAATCTGTTCATTTGTTTTCTCTCTCAAAGAGAAAAGAAAAAGTTAAACAGATAGTAAGAGGGAATTACATGCAATGGTACTGTACAGGTAACACCTGGTCTCTTTTCCGCTGGGAATTGAAATCAGTCCTTGGAACCATACCTCTTCTAGTATTAGGCTCCTAATCACTGCAAAACTTCTCAAGTCAGAACTAAGACTACTACTCTAGTAATACAGGTTAGCTAACAGAATTCATCACTATGAAGTAAAACTATCCAGTCACACAGTATTAAGTAATCGGAATGAGTTGAAAACAAGTCAGACTAACATAAACTTTTATTTTTTAACTCCAAGATTATGACTGTTTCTACAATTTACATTAATAGTGAATGCTAAGTTTGGGACACTGAGTAAATAAATGAAAGAAACCTGAAGGAGGACAGGCTCCCAATTAAAAAACAGCAGAGACCTGTACAAAATTTCGAGGGATTCTAGCAAACTATTTTAACATTAAAAAAAAGGAGCAAGTAAAATAAGCTTTCAAATATTCTTTTGAAAAATGTCAAACCACTAGACCTTTAAAAACACATTCATCTTTACCATGGTACAACAACTTTTAGATTGCTGACTGCTCACTCTTTGCAATATGAAAATAATAGGTATCTCGATTTACCTATTCAATTCATGATAGTTTCATAATGACAAATTCTTAATGATTTTCACAGAAGGTGAAGACTCCAAAGTCATGATATTAGTATAATTCAGTCATTACAATACGTATATCTCAATATACTACTTATGATTTTTCCTAGAATCTCAGTATGGCTGCATTGACTGATTTTCAGTTTTTAGCATAAGGGAAGCCTTAAAATGTGAGTAACAATTGCTCTCATTTCCCTTTCAATGGGGCTTGTTTACCTACCTAGATTTATGTCACTAACATATCTATGCATTTACTTACATTATGCGAAATACTGGAAGCTCTCAAACCATCAATACTATACTTAATACACTTACTATTAATTTGACTGAATAACTTTGTTTCAAAGGCAATAAAAATGTCAACAAATCACTCCTTAAAACTAATGATTCTAAACATAAAGAATTATGTTTTTTCTTACTGTTCCATAAACTTTTAGAAAATAGATTTTAGTTTGGGGCAGTATTTACACAAGTCACAAAGATTTTGTAAGCAGCTCACACAGAAACAGATCATCATGGCACTCATCTATGTCCTAGCACTCAGGGAGGGGCAGCAGGAGGAGGACCAGGATCCAAGGCCAACAAGGACTGCACAAGGCCCTGTCTCTACACACAAGTTTTCATGTAATTGAGATACAATCCACCTCAATAAATATAATGCATGGGGTTTAACCAATACCAAAAGGCTGAATATTTCCAAAGACAAGTATACACTGAAAAACAGTGCCATAGAAGAGTTGACCTGGCAAAATGACAGGACCATTGTATTCAGAAATTAGATAAGTTTATAAAAACAAAATATAAAACTTACTTTGAACATAGTGGCAAGCACAAAGGCATATTAACAAACATCCAGAGGGTTAATATGACGAGCTTGGGATGCACTCCATTTCATAGACTACCTGGTAAAATGGCTAATGTTAAGCCTAGCTTAATCTCAACTGAAGTCAAAGCAAATTAATATACCTACTGGAAAAAAAATACTTCCACAGTCTTAAAAGAATACAAATAAAGCATTGAACTCAAATATTTATAAAGAAAAAAGAAACCAATAAAAACCTGTGGTGCGGTGGACAGGACGACAGTACTCTCAGCAGGGACTGGCAGGGCAGGGGTCACAGGGACAGTGGGAGAGGAGGGAGGAACAGCTTCTGTGGGCTAAAATCATCAATGACAAAAAATCAGGAAAAAAACATCAAATAAAAGCAAAACAAACAGAAAGGTTGTACCATAAAGATAAATTATAGTTCTCCACATAATAATAAGTGGGAAAATTATTAAGGTATTACTTTAGTTGGTTAAGTAACAAAAGTGTCCCATGACTATTTCAGCAACAATTACAACATCAACTTACAATGTCTATGGCTAGTGTCTATGGTTAAGGATGGCTGTTCTTTACAATGCATCAATAAAGACAATCACACACCGTTTAATGACACTCTTGTTTTATACAGGTTGCACAAAACTTTCCTAGCATCTAGAAGGTATCTGATTATTTTCCCCTTTTACATTAAAATAAAAAATTAGCTCATCATGCAAATGTTTACAAATCCAGAGGGAAAAGATTTAAAAAAATTTCCAAATAGAATCTGTATCATTTAAAATAATACATACTATTAAAACACTGCTACTGAGAATGGTAAATAACCTGCCTACTGTTCCTGTGAAGTCATTAACTCAGTACCACTGGATCCTTTATGTGCCAGATATACTCTGGCAAAAGTGGAGGGAAAAGTACAGAAGCACTTTAATATTTATACTCAATTACTGCCTGGCTTGATTATTTTCAGAAGTAGTACAGAATATGCACAGAAAATAGATTTTCTAACAAAATTATATTACTGTAAACAAATTAACTCAAAATTACAAATGAAATATGAGGTAAAAAATCTTTAAAATCAAGCAGATAGAAGACAATGAATACTAACAGAGACTTAAGAAAAATTAAGATAAAGCTACTTTCTTGTCACCAATAAAAACAATTGTTTATCAAATCAACCACGACCCATTAAAGATGTATAAAGCCAGTGTGAATGGTGTACTGGTTGAGGCAGAGGGATGGTGAATTCAAGGCCAGCCTGAACTCATAGCAATTGTATGTATATAATAATATATAGTAACACTGCCTCAAAACCAAAACCAACCAAACAAAAAACTAAATGCAGATTCAAATACAAATTTTTACAAAGATTTACAAGTGTTCAGTGAGAACATGAAAAGATTAATCATTAAGGAAATTCAAATCAAAGCTATAATGAGTTGGCACTTTACACATACTGAGGAATGGTGCAATTAAAACAAAACGACAAAAACCCTTGTGATACTATGTGTGTATAAAATAGCACAGGTATTTGTGGAAAACAATGTAGTGGTTCCTGAAAAACAGTCATGGAACTATGGTGTGCTGTGACAACTCTACTTCTAAAAAATTAAAGAATGTAAAAAAGATTTAACTACTTGAAAGCAATTTCCAAGGCAGTATCGTTCACAAAAGTCAAAGGTGGACAACTCAAGTCACACACACACCCCAAAAAGTGGAATATACCCTTAACAAAAGAAAACTTTCGGCACATGATATAACATTGATGGACCTTGAAGACTTTATGTAAGTAAAATGAACATGTCACAAGTTGGTTCTAGTTATGCATACTTTACTATGTAATATTTTAAAAGCTAACTGGAAATATATTGCTGATGGACATTTAAATTCACACAGTTTAGGAAAATTAACTTACCAGTAAAAACGGCCTCAACTCTGACTTAGTAGTTTAATTTAGTCTCAAGGAACAATTTAAAAAGGAAATACAACATTTCTGAGGTATTCTCTAGATCAGAGCTTATACTTGGGGAATTGTGGAATACTCTGAATATCCACAGGCATCTCAAGTAATGTTAACCACTAACATTAAATGCTATGAAGCAATTAAGTAATCTATAATAGCTTATAAATCAGGCGGAACACTGCCTATAATATTAAAAGAGAAATGAAACATAGAAAGAAAGGTTTGAAAAGTTGTTAACAAATACAAAGACATTATAAATACAGACTGAGGAAGGAAGATCAATGCATACCAACACAAAATAAATCCTCTGTAATCAGCACATTCTCTACAAGACAAACACAATGAATGTGCTTTAAAGATATCGCAAATCACAGTAGTGCTGGAAGAGTATTAACACTGATAAGTGAGCTTAAATTGCTGGACTCTGTTATCTGAATTTCTTATTTTCATTTCAGACAGGTGTTTAGCCACTAGATATTATGGTTAAGAAACAAAACCCACCACCTCCAAAGAAGTAATTCTTAAAATGAGGGATTACATTTGCATAATATTGTGAATATACTGGATTATACACTTAAAAGGTTAAAATAAGATGCTGGAGAGATGGCTAAGAGGTTAAAAGCATTAACTTACAGAGAACCTTACAAAGAACCTGGGTTCAAGTCTCAGTTACCCATATGAGTGACTCTGGTTCCAGGGGATCTGACATCTTATGCTGTGGAAAGCAGGTCACTGACATATATGTAAAATTTTAAAAAATTTAAAGGTTAACACAAAAAATTTATGCTATGTTACTTTACCACAATGGAAGAATATACACTGAATTAAGAGAGCCCATGGCTTTGACTTGAAGCTTTAGTCACTATTTCTACATCTGAATTCTGTATTTAAAGGTTGGAATTAAAATCTTAAATGGTAGGCAACCAATTTTCACTCAAATACTTGCACTACCTTTAAAATGATTTATGACAAAGCAGAGGGGAAGAATGATTCTGAAAGAATTGTTGCTAGATCACCTGGATGCACACACTGAAAGAGCAAATGAATACAGATTCCTATTTTCAACTATACTGAGAGAAGTAAATAAAAAACCTCTAGAAGGTAATATGGTAAGACACCACCGCCTTTGTAGAGGAAGCAACTTATTGAACCAAAGCAGGGTAGAGAGATGCTATCAGCTCTGAGCAAGGAATGGCTGGGAGTGAGTAATATGCCACAGGGTGTGGTAGCCTGAACAAGGTGAAGATGGCAGCATAAAAGCCTGGCCTGAGGCTCAAAGATCCCAGTGGAGTACAAAAGCAATCTGTAGATACCTAAGCAGTGATGGGAGGTGAGAAGGGAAATTCCACTTTAATAAATGAGTACATAAAAGACAATGGGAGCAAGGTTTCTCATGTGAGAAAAAAAGCAAAGCTGTAAATTATGAAAACGGAGGAAAATTAGCATGGACTTATGCTATTAGATCAGAATTGGGAGTACTGGTATAAACATACTGAATTTTTGATACATACTGAAAAAACTAAATATGGGTATAAATGTATTTTCTAGATCTGTCTCACTGAGAACAATTGCGACCTTAAAGCCCAGACATATACAACTTTAGTACCCAAATCTTGGTTTCTAAATACCCACACTCAAAGAAAACAAAAGAAGGGTCCTTACAGAAATGGCTGGCTCCATTCAGTGAGTCTAACATCACCAGAACAACTTGATATTTGCCTGAAAATAAGTAAGTACTCCAAGAAAGGTTATCAAAGAGCCTATAAAATATCATGCCACCTGGGAAATACCAGGACTCAAAATAAATAACAACTTATTAGATTAATATTAGTATTAGAATAATAAAGTATTAGATACTTTTCTTTTGCTGTGATAACATACCATGGCCAAGAGACTTAGGGAATTTATTCTGGCTTATGGCTCTAAGGGTTAGAGTTCACAATGGCAAGAAATGGTGACATGTTGGTAAGAGCAGGAAGCAGATGGGTCTCATTTTTCATCCAAACACAGGAGGAATTGAGAGGCATCAAGTGGGATGAGGATTCTCAAAGCCCGTCCCCAGTGATGCACTTCTATAGCAAGGCTGTACCCACCTAAGGATTCTATTATCTCCCCCAAAACAGTACTATTGACTGAAGAGCAAGTGCTTAAAAACTTGAGCCTATGGGAGAGCCACAAGAGTAACAATGGCATAAAACTCAATAAATAAAATAGGAAAGTCCATATTGCAAAAATGCATACATGAATTAAACAAAATGCATTTCCTTGAAATAAAATGCCAACTAAAAAGTGAAGAAATAATGGAATTATAATTATAAAATCACCATCTGGCAGTCATCAGGTTATAATAAGAAACAGCAATGGATGCTTAAACTTCCTCTTGCTGTTGCTAAGCAAAACTTTCATTACATTTTACTTGAACATCTGAATGGGACACACACACACATACATACACACATATATATCCCCTCAAAACACTAGCCTGGATAAGCCTAACAGAGACTATCATAATCAAGAAATCAGAACATCAGAACTAACATTATCATAACAGGACAAATTAAAATTAAATACTATCTCACAGGATACAATGATAACACTGATTTTGGTGCCAAACACAGTTAACTGGGTCCAATCAAACAGAGTCCAAACCAAGTGATAATACTATAAAACTGGTCATAGTCATCTAAACTGTGATAATTATTTCTTAAAATTTTTGTTCAGAATTGAGGAATTTAATTGCAGCAAAGCTAATATAAACGGTCCATGTTTTAACTTTTATTGCATATAGGTGTTTTGGCTGCAAGTCTATGTGTGTATCACAAATATTTTCTTCCTGAAGAGGGCAGAAGAGGGTGTCAGATCGCCTGGAACTGGACTATAAATGGGGGTGAGCTGCCATGTGGGTTCTGAGAATTGAAGCAAGATCTTCTCAATGAGTGGCCAGTGCTCTTAACCATGGAGCCATCTCTCCAGCCCCATATTTAATGTATGTAATTTGATGAGCTAACATATATGAAATTTATGAGCATAAGGAAATCTGTGTATGTATTCATCATCTCTAAGAGTTTCCTTGTGTTTCTTTGCTGTTTTAGTTTTGAGTTGTTGTTGGAACACCAAAAAGTATTTATTTTTTAAATGTCAAGATATGATAAACGTAGTAGGCTTTCCTTATATGGTATTAGTTTCTTGGTAATGGTCTAGTAGTAACAAAGTACACTATACTATTAGTAGTCACTAGAGTCCTATTACTAGGGTAAGTAATAGTTCAAATAAAATCAGGTAAAACTACATGCTTACCTCAAATTTCAAAGCACAAGAAAGATATCCACTGGTCAGCTACTCCCTAAATCCTTTATGACAAACTATTATTCTTTT